GAAAATTTTTAGTAATGTATAATATATCCTACACAGATAAACCGTTTCCGCTCAGAATTGTTTTTCGTATACAATGATATAATATCTTTGCATTCAAATTTAATTCCATCMATTACAGTAACCCACTTGTAACCTACTGTACAGCAGAGCTACATCCACGACTTACCTGCTTTTTTACTTACCAAAATTATTATAAGAAGAATATTTTATTAGGTAAAATGAATTTAGAAATGTATATTGTATTTTATAAAGATTAAACTTTTTTCATTTGGGAAAAAATGACCTGCGGTTTATATGGCTATTAGATGTATCATTGCAATATTGCATAATATGAGTAAATAAATAATATATATATATATATATATTTTTTTTTTTATAACAATAAATAAGGTAAAATAAAATAAAACATACAGGCATATATATACTCGTACGTTTAGGATAAACTTTAAACTAGTGAAATAATATTGTTTTATAGTAATGATTTAAAATTATGCAAACAAATTCAATATATTTTTCTATATTTACTATTATAATTATCTACCTGTATAATTTTTTACGCGCAAGATTGATATCATCAAAAACCTCATATGTTGTGAGTAACACTTACAAAACCTTAGACAAACGGGTAAATATTAAGTCATAATTCTGAATCAATTATTTATTTGATAACAATTTTCTACAAGTATAGCACTTCGTTCCTATAAAAAATGATAACCCTTAAAAAAAAGTGTGATAGTCCAATTCCTTTTGGATGTAATTTGCTGTAAGTKTGACTAAGCCATTCTGGTAACAGTTATTGTTAATTTAGGTGACCTGGCGAACTTCGTTGGTACCGCTAACAGCGAATGAATGTCGTAATACCTTTACCTAAACTTAATATAGGATTTTATTAACATAATAAAAATGAAGACAAAAAATTGGTTAAGTTCAATAGTTTGATAGTATATAAATTATATAATAATAATAAACGTGATTACAATTTTGTATACCTAAATTGTATAATTAGAATATGCCTAAATACCTAATTTTAATTATCTATATATGATTATCAAGCTGATACAGCGTCTACTCAGAATCGTTTTTTGTTGGTACCTACCTACACAGAGTGATGAATGATTTAGCACTGAATTCAAATTTAATACGCCCATAACGGGTGTATTTATAACACTCAGATTACCTACTCAATGAATCATTCGACAGTCGGCACCTACAAATTACAATATTGCAGAAATACAGACTATAATAGCAGCAGAGCTAGTTCCCTGGTCGTTAATAATTATTAAGGCGATTGGATAAATACTGAAAATATTGTATTTATTAATTTTGATTCTTTTGTTTATTGGACATTACATTGTGGCCTAATCTAGAAAACGGTTGTTTATRTTTAAGTTATAACTAACATAATATTATAAACAATCATTGGCTCATCAATTCAGCGCGTTTTAAATTATATTTTTTCACTTCACTATACACCGATAGTTATTATTTATTATACAAATARTAAATACTAGTGTACCTATATAGGTAGGTAGGTGCATATTGTCACGTACAGGTTTATGTAGGTATAGTTTAATAGTTAAGTATTGTTATTAAATACACGCAGCCACCATAATAATAATATGATTGATGTGTTTTAATTAAGTTTTAACCGCAGTCGGTTAAATTATTTACGGCTTGTGGTATACGTAATTACAATCTTCCGCACGGCAGGTAAATAGGTGTGTACACATCTTTTATTATAATTAACGGGTACCTAATACTGCTGAACAACTGCAGTGCGTAGGTTATAGGTATATATATATTATGATATTCAGTGTTTATATATAATAATATACAATATTGATAGTGTATGATTTACTACTGCGAGGTAGGTACTTACTTATATTTACTTGTAATTTAGGTAGTGTTCGCGGAAAATGGGCGTTTTTATACATATTTTAATAATTTATAATATGCTCCTTTAGGTATATGTATTATTTTTTTAAACCCACGAAAAGATTGATTTTAATGGTGCACTTATACGGCATTTCGATTCGTAYGAGTGCATTACACTGCAGTGGATATATAACATACTAGAGCTACCTATTACCTATATTACGTTATTCTGTATGAATAGGTAGGTAATATATAAAAATGTATTTAATAGGTTCCTAATACTAWGTTAACTACCTATAGATGAATATTAATGCGGTGGGTCCATTATTAATGCTGATTGGTCTGTAAAAAATAAAAACAATAACTTCTATCGCTAAAAAGGCGCTTACAGATAGTAGGTACAWWATTTAAGCGTTATTATTATACCTATACGATAACGCACCATAACATGTAATATAATACAGATAGGTACCTATTGTCCCAATATACTTATGTAGTGTGTGGTTTTCTTCGATCGCAGTAATAAGGTACCAACGCGAAATTACAATTTCGCACACCTACGGCCTTCTGTGATTTATAAATTTATAATATCATAGAATCATTAAACGTTTATAATATACTGTTTTAGCGCTAAGTGCTTATTATAATTATGTAACTATAGAAATATTCAGAATTTATCACACGAATAATTGTTTAGTGTGTAAACTAATGTTGCTATTTATAACATTATAACTTGTGTTACAAATAATTGCCTAATATAGTTTTATCGTTGGTACAACTTCAAATGAACATGCAAAATGTATTCCCTATAGAGTGTGCTAAAGTTAAGTTCAATATATTTGAGCTGTTTTTTTGTTTAGTTAAGTACCTACTTAAAAACAAATTGCGATGTATTACTGGGCTCTGATTTAAGATTTTGAATGTATTAATTTTACAACGATGTGTGTTTTTTGTTTTTTGTTTTGTGCCTGTTGTCTGTATACAATATACGTATATGTTTATAATAACTACTAACTACATATCTACATGTCTAAAATATAAAGTAGAAAAATAAAGATTCGATTTTCAACATCAATATTTTTTCCATGTGAATCTAGTTGTTAATTTAATTTTGGATAATATGTGTATTTATAGATTGTCATTTTCTCTATTTTCAATAAAAATAAAAGCGGTTTAAGTTTAAATGTTGACAAAATTCGGCAAATCTTAAAAATTTACTAACCACTTTCCGTTAAGAGTATACCATTTYCAATTTGTATCAAATGCCTAAAAATTAAACACTACCTATACAAGATCCTTCACGAGTAGATTTTATAGTTCTTACTATATAACTAAAAAGCCTTAACATTTTTTTTTATTTAAGTTAAACGTTCGGTCAAATTATTTTAGTTTTAAAGTGTAGTAATTTGATTTTGTGAAAATATCCTACTATGTTTGTTGCATCATGTTGGTTATTCATTAATGTTTCATACAATGGTAAATTATCATAGATATGCAGGCAGTAGGCGTACTAAGATAAAAAAAAATATAGTAAAGTGCATTCTTTCAGTTATGGTCTCTTATTTTATACGGAAAAAAATGCGAAGTGATAAAACGCAGATTATTTTTATATTATACCTATACTATATACCTAAACGAAAACAAGTTATTATTTTGTAGCAAATTAATTGTACAAACTAACAGACTAGGTATTTCAACGAGTTTGTACCTCTGTAGGCTGAAGCATTTATCTTCTCGCGCGTTTTCAATTGAAATATAGAATTTAAAAATAATTTAATTAATTATTCTAGACGTATATTACAGCAGATTTAAATAGATATTTGGTTATTTTTCTAGTACCTTTATCATATTTTATGGTAATAGTCTAATAGTTACGAATTCAGACGGTTTCTCTAAAACAGATTCCATAGGTTGGTAGATCGGTAGGTTAGGAAGGCTA